CCCCGTCCTAGTGGCCCGTCCAGCTGGGGACCCAGACTTCTTACTCTGAAGCTCCAAACCTCCAAGAGCACAAAAGCGGAAGCCGGCAGGCTTCATAAAGCAACCATCCACGTGTCCCCTGTGCTGCAACCTGTCGTTTCAGGCAAGTGACAGGGAGGGCCAGCCAAGATGGCACGGGAGTGATCGCTGGAGGCGCAGGGTCGTGTGTGGGCTACTTACCACGAACGCTGTTCACACGTGCCCGGGCCGAGGGAGAGCCAGATTCTCATGTAACACCGCAGGACACCAACAGATGATATCTGAAGCTGACAAATGAAGAAATAGCAGTGAGCGTGTACTGCTTCGGGATCGAGAAGGCCACTAACGACCGTTAGAGACGGATCCGCAGTGGGATGAGAGACCGTCCCTCCGTCAGCTCTCGCGTTTGTGCTTTGTCTCGACAGCATTCTGGGGCGGTGGTTTGGAGTGCGGCTCTGGGGACAGACTGCCTGCCTTCCTGTCTCGGCCACGTGACTCCCACCCTCTGGGACCGTGGCAGATTGCATGGTCACCTGGTGCTTCGGTGTCCCTATCTGTAAGCTAGGGGTAATAACGGTACCAGCCTCATCGGGTTATTGAATTACATGAGTCAAGCACTTCTTAGACGACCATCTGGCATGAAGTAGATTCCCCCCAAAATGGTAGGTATTCCCAATTATAACATGAAGCCAGAAAAATAAAACAAAAAAACAAAAAAAAAAAAACAGGGAAGCCCGTGGCAAACCAAGGATCCAGAGACCTAGATGCCTGTCTCCTGACTGTGCCCTAAATGGGATCGGCGAGTCCGCTAACCTTGCCCTTAAACTCGGGCGTGTGGGGTAAGATTAGCTCCTAAGAAGAGAGGTGCTGTCAAATTCGAAGTCTAGAAGAGCTAGCCACGGTTGTCAAAAATTACCCTGCTGAAAAATGGGAATCCCGCCCCTTTTAGCAGAGAGCTTCAGATTCTTTACTGTTGAACCTGTTTCTTCATCCTCATACTGTGCCCACCACGGAGAAATAATTCACAGACTCACTCGCCGCCTGTCCAAAGGCCTTTCTCCTGGGAAAGAACCGTATAAATCATTTGCAGCTCGTGGCCATAACTCCCAGGTGCTTCCACGAGGCCAACTGGAAAGGGACATTAACTTGGAACCAATTAAATTACTTCTAGTCTGTATTTGCTGGTCGCCTGAACGAATCTCTCCCAGAAGGCCGTTCACATGGACACCCGTAGGGGACACTGTGAAGAAGGTGAAATTGGGCTTCGGAGACCCCTACCTCTTCCTGTCACCCCAGGGAGCACAGAGCTCACGTGCTTCTCTATCGCCCCAGGAAGCAGCGCGATCTCTCCGAGAGGTGACTTAAAATAGAATCCTCTTGAGAACTAGAGGCATTTTAAAACATCTTCGTTTCCCCCATGCATTTGAAGGAAGGAATTAATGGTCCACTTTCTGGCTTCGGTTGGCCGCCAGAACAAGAACCGCGTCCTGGGACCTCCCCGTCCACACCACTTGCTGGTGGCACTTGTACATCTGACCCTGGCCTCGTAACTTCCTGGTGGGTGCCTATGGGCACTAGGACCTTTGCAAGCCAATCGTTAGCTAGAAAGGACAGTTTCACTTAGGACCAGCAAGGTGCCCGGGTCTCGCCGTCTCCCTTCAGCTCACCTGTCGGCGGGCGTTGCAGAAGCAGCATCACGGACTTCGGACTTCGGTAAGGGGTTCTGTGCCATCTCCCAGGTGGTCTCGACTGCAGAGCTGTTCTTCCCAAAAGCGCAAATTCTAACTTAGCAGTCTGCGTGGAAGCCGGGGTCCCTGGCAGGCCTGGCATGGGGGCAGAAGGTTACAGCAGCTAATCAGGTCCTTGCCACACTGTCCTGACTCACGACCCCGCCCTGGCCCGTTCCCAGCTGACCCCGCTCCTGTCATGCTCGGCGAGGAGCCGAGATTCTCCACAAAGCGGCCTGTTTCTGGAAGCCGGAGAGGGGACCTGTGGCCGGCCTCCCGGTCCCAGCATCCTCCGTGAGGACACGCTGCACAAGCAGATGTCGTCCTTTGACTCCACACGACCTTCTGAATTTGGGCAGATGAGAAAGCACCTGGGATCCGCGGAGGGCCCGAGGGTGTCTTCCCGCACAGCACAGAGACATTCTCGTCTTCCACCGCCCGCCCCAACCCCACGTCTCACTGGCATGTGGCAAGGACGCGGCCTCGCTCATTTTCTCCATTGGAAGAATCCTGCTTCCCGTGGCCGGTGCTGGCCCACGCCTGAGAGTTTACCAGACCGGATGCCGGGGCTCTGTGGCCGTCTCGGCTTGACGGATGAGAGGATGCTGCCGAGGGTCCTCCCCAAGGTCACCCCACAAGCAAACACTGGTACTGAGAGAACGAGATCACCCCAGACAGGGAAGGAGCTACAGACAGAAGCTTTCAAAGGCCTGCCATGTGCAACCGTGCCAGCCCTTCGAAGCGGGGCCCACAGACTGTAAGGTACAGATGGATGACAGCTCGCCCCTCAGCTCGCACTGTCCTCTGAGATGCCCAGGTGGGGGCGTGGTCCTCACGATGACTGAGGAATATCCCCGCCCCCACCAGTTAACCTGCAGTTCAGAGGCCGCCCCGCAAGCCCAGGGCGGGCCCTTCGGCACGTCGCTGTTCCCTTCCCAGGCGCCGGTGGCCTTTGTCCACCGGTGACAGCACGCACGGCGAATCCTTCCGTCGATGGCTCCCGAATTTGACCTGCTCTACCGAAGCACAGTTTTTAAAAACTCCTTTCAAGCCAAGCCACTTTAGAACCAAGACCAGCGCTTGACTCAGGGGCCTGTTCAGCCTTCCGTGGCTCTCAGCAGATAGGATTACACTCCCCCCTCAGCCCGAATCCACCGCCCCGAAAAGAGAAAGAACAGCCTAAGTTGCATGTGAGTTGAGTTCCGAAGATACACATCAGGTGAACTTAGGAGTTGGGGGGGCTGTGGCATTATGTCTCCTTTTCTGTTCCCACGCAAGGAGAGCACAGCACCAAGGCCACCGTGACAGCGGGTTCACAGCCCTCCTCCTCCAGCCCGGAGTGGGGACTGGCCTGTGAGGCCAGCCAAGGCCCTCGAGGGGGATCTTCCGCTTTATGAACCAAGCGCTGTGTGCGCGTTGAGCATCGACGTTCGCTCTTATCAACAGACCCCCTTCCAGAGGCTTCCTGGGGAATAGTGAGACCCTGCTTCCCCCCGCCTAACCCTTCAGTACTTCTCCATCTCCGAGACCCTGGCCCCTGCCCCCATCTCCTCTGTCCCTTGTCACCCTTCTTCAGCCACAGTGCCCTCCTTGCTGTCCCTGGACCGGTGGGTGACTCAGGTGACTCAGTCTCACCTAAAAGAATCTTCCCCGGGCAGATGCAGCCGCAGCCGCTCTTGCCCGAGCCTGGCGCCTGCCTCTGCGCTCGCTCCCTCCTTGCCTCGTTTCCGTGCAACGCTCCGGAGCCCTTAGCTCTGGCGGAAACGATCTCACCCTCTCTTCGCTTACATCGTACGGCGGAGAATCCCAGGTTCTCATTCTTTCCCTCTCCCTCCGTACGGAACCTCGGTTTTGACAGAGGGAAGAGCGCGGTACATGCAGTGTAAAACCTGCACTTTCCAGCCTCTTCCGCGGCTCCGTGACTGAATTCTAGTCAGTGAGGTAGAGGTGGAGGTCGGTTGGCTGTCCTCCTTGGAAAAAAAGGAGGTACGGCATATCCGACCCTTCACCCCTTTCTTCTGTCCCCTGCCTGGGACTCCACATATGGTGGCTGGAGCACTCTGGACCTTGAGGTGACCTCAAGGATGGCAGCCATCAGCTAAGAATGGCAGAGCAAAAAAGTCAGCCGAGCAGCCTGGGTCCTGGGTATCTGTGCGTTGCCGTCAAGTGACCTCCTCAGACTACTTTAAAATGAAAGAAAAATCAATGCCCGTCTTCTTTAGCTACTGTTAGCCGTAGTGCCTCTCGCGGGCAGCTGAACGCTGTTTATAGCCGACACTCATGTTTCTCGTCTTCCCTCACCAGAATGAAACCTCCATGAAACCAGGAACTTTGTCTAGTTCACCACTGTGTTTCTAGATCCTAGGACCTAGTAAAAATCTGTCGAATGAGCGAGTGGATAAATGAGAACACACACATATACACACAACAATTGCAATATGTCTTCTGCCCAAATCCTGGCTTTCTCATCAGGCAACTCTTGGTGAGCTGCGTTGCGTTATCACCCTCCCTGATCACTGAGCCCAGGCACAGAGAGTTACGTGGGCCAAAGCGACTGCAATTTCTAAGTGTTAGCTGCAGAAACAGTGTCGTTCGGTTCCTAGGGATATAAAATGCAGGCTTGCCGTGGGTTGTCCACGAGGCTGTTTCCGGCATCTTCGGCGTTCAGCTGCCTTGTTCGCACAGGGGTCTCAGGGCTTCTGCTGCTTGGGCTTCCCAGCCTCCTGCAGAAGAGCCGCACCGCAAGGCAATTCGGTTTCCATCCTAGAACAGGCGTGGGCGGATGGAGCGGTTTATTGTCTCTAATCTTGAAACGAAGTGGCAGCTTTTAGGAACCCCTGGCTTCCTTGGCTAGACTACGTAGTGTCCAGCGGGGTCTGTGGGAGGCGCGTCTTAGCTCTGAGGGGCTCAGGTCCGCAAAAAGAGTTTTCGAATCGGAGTAACAGCAACTAGCAGTGCTTCCGATTCCGCTACCAGAGGAAGCGCAGTTGAGAAGAAAAATGCCAAACTAGCGAGCGACCTGAGTTCAGTCCCGGCTGTACGACTGACTTAGCCACGTGACCTGGAGCGAGGCCGCCACTTACTCACCTCCCCAACTGAGGTACCACCTCTCTTTCCTACCCCAGTAGGGAGAGTCATATGAGATAGGTCAGGGGTTAGGTGGGGATAAACCATAATGTGTATTTATCAAATCCCAATGTTTTAGAGATGGGAAAAATCTTAGGGATTATTTTAACCCAACCCTTCATTTTGCAGATCTGAGAGTCAAGATGTGGCCCAAGATCACAGGATACGGTCGTGGCAAACCCCAGTCCCGAATTCTCAGACCAATGGGCTCCCTTCCTTACCATCCTCCCCTGTCAGCGGGTAATAACAATATTGGTATCATTCCTCCTTTAACTGTGCCTCGCAGTTTTACTCTTGTTATTATAAAATTGATTATGTCCCAGGGAAACGTGAGTTCCGTTTCGGGAAGGTACAGTTCAGACGCACGCCGCTTTGAGTCATTCCTGCATTCCCCCGTGTTCACTGCGGCTACGATGTGCCAAACTCTGCTCTAGGCTCGGAGGACAGAGGCAGAAATCCCTGCCTGCAGGGAGTTCATCTTACACACTCACACCAAATGGCATCGAGTGTCGCGGAAAAACGAAACACACGAGAAACACGGTAGAGAGAAGCGCCTGGAGGAGGAGAGAGGGGCCGTGTTGCCGTCTTAAGTGAAGGAAGCCCTCGCGGATGGGGTTACGTTTCAGCAGCACCTGAAGGACAGGTGGGCACGCCACGAGGACACGTGAGGGGAAGAGTTTTCAAGGTCAAAGAAACAGTAGATGCTAATCCCCTGCGAGTGTTCTGAGCCTGTTCGGGGGGAGAGCAGATAAGCCAACAGGAATGGAGCAAAGCGAAAAGCTGGATGAGCAGGAGAGAAGGTGAGAGACCCGGGGCAGATAGATAACGGGGGGACTCGTGGACCGTTGTTAAGTGTTTTGACTTGTGCTCAGCTTTTAAATCAGTGCGCAGCACGAATTCCTCAGAAGACCGGCATGTCCTTGATAAGCTGGCGTTTTATTTTTGGCCCAGCGTTTTCTAATTCTGAGTTTGGACTGCCCCCACGCCGTCGGTATGGGGCTGCACCGAGTTCTCCCCTGTCCGCGCTCCTGACCCGTTAGCAAATGTCCCTAAAGAGAAATAAAGGCCTCGTGTTCTGAATAAGGTTAAAATAAACTTGGGAGATCTTCCTCGTCATCCAAAAACCAATTAAGCAGTGTACACGGAAGTAGTTCTAAAAATGGCAGCGCGGTGGAAATAGACTGACAGGTGAGCAGATGGGAGAACCATCGACTCAGATTTATGTCACAGCTTACAACTCAAATGAGCATTCCAAAGTCAGAACAGCTGGCCTTTTATTCTGTAAGCCATTGTCCTTTGCTTTGCTCATCTCTCAGGAGTATGAGTGGATTACACTCCGATGGCAGTCTGTCTGTCAGCCTTTGACTTTGCAGGGGAAAATCCTTTGTAGAAAACAGGTTCTTGATGTTAATCAGATTTCTCTGTAATGTCTGCTTCTTCCGTGGGTTATGAAGTTTCTAGATTCTGGAAATCAGTGCCATTAGCCTTTTAGCTTTCATTTTCATAAATATGAATTACCTGTGTGACTACTATTATCTGATTCTCAGTAAATGGAATTTAAGCAAATAGTCAAAAAGCAACATCTTCAGATTTTCGAAAAGAAAGGTTTTTTGGTATTTTTGTTTTGAATGTTATAATGCATCTAAAAAAAAAAAAAAATCACAGCTGCCTTGAATTTCTGATCGTAAGCTGTTCCGGAATCCTTCTGAAGTTTGAGACTGTCTCACGCAAACTTTACTTAAGTTTCAAGCAACAGGGAAGTCATGAAATTTGGAAGGGGTTATCTTTTGTCAATCACGGTCCTTTGTGGGGCACCGTGCTGACAGAGGACAGCGGAGAGACCGTATTCTGTGGCTGAAAGGAGAGCTCGACATTACCCAGTGGGGATTTTGTTCCAATAATTGCATCAAATCGGTCCTTCTGCCGTGTCGCAAGTATAGCATTCATGTCACTCATTAAGTCCTACTCCCGTACGCCGTCCCTCGCCATGGCAGAGCCACCGGCAGAATATATTTTCTTCCAAAGTGTTTGTTTTCATTGTTACCCTTTAAAAATAATGAGTCCTTTCTATTCCCTCGCAAGGAAAGTTACTCTAGACCGCTTTGAAATCGTACACCTTTTGTTGAGCACATTTCTGCAGTGGTCCCATAGCTTTGTGCACCAGGCAACCCAAGCCGGCCTCTCTTAAAGCTCCCAGCCAGGCCGCCTCAGACCCGATACATACGATCGGCCGGCCCATTTGACCTTTATGTTGTTACCCTTGGCCAGGTAAAAGTCATGCAGGTTTCAGGTGACCCTATCATGTGGCCAGAGATCAAAGGTCAGCAGCTCCTAAATGTTCAGCTGTCAAGGTAGCCCATTCATCACCATCATTATGTAACTGACAAGCCGACAAATGAACCTGGGGATAGAATGGTTCTCAACCCTCCACCCCCTGGGTTTGCGCCCCGGTGCTGGGCCAGGCGGGCTCACATGTTAAGTGGCTCCACGAGCCTGTCGGGGGCCCCGAGGTAGAGGGGAAGACTCCAGGAGGCCTGTTCTCTGCGCTGGACCCCGTGCAGTCACCGGGTGCCTGCTCGGAGGGCCAGGTTGCAGGTCTGCACAAACCAGCTCTGAGTCTGGTATCCTCTGAAATGGCAAAGAATTTAACGTCAGCTCTTTATGGACCCAAGACACTCACGTCCACAACCCACACACACCACGACCCCTTTCCGCCTTCAGCATCTTCAAGGTCTCTTGTGGCAGTTAACATGGTGCAGTGTTTCCACAAACTGGCCTAATCCGCAGAGTCACTTGTGAAAATCCGGGCTCCAGGACCCTCCCCTGGAGAATCTGACCGGGGGCAGCTGCCTTTGAAAAAGCTATATTTTTAACAAGGACCCAAAACGATTCTTTCGATGACTGTGTTTCGGAATAGTAAAAAGAACTTAAGATTTGGAGTCGGACAGTTTTGCCAAATCATGACTATCCTCTGTTTGGCTGTGAAATCTTGGATGAGTTAGTTAACCTGGGCCTCGGTTTCCATTTTGAGGGCAGCCCTATAAACAGAAGACGTATGCAGTGCCTGGCACTCGGTAGTTATTACTGGCTGTTTTTAATGTTTTTTTTTTATTAGCGTTATTACTAGTCTTTTGGCATAAGAGAGGATGTCACTAGAGGGGTGATGCCATGAGCCAGAACTTCTTTACATTTGCTCTCACATCAACCAAAACCTCTGGAAAACTTGCAAGGGCAGTTTCTGGGGGGCAAGGCGACGGGTGGACTGCATGGTGTAATCACATGGGTCGGGGAGAGGGTGGCAGTTACCGGCGGCAGAAGGGGCAGGGCTCGGCGCCCCACTGGACCCTGGAAGAAAGAATGGAGATGGCTTTGAGCCATTCCATGACTAAAAAGTGTCCCTGACTTTTATACCTGCAAGAGGCTCGCGTGGCCCACATCTCTTCCTCCCCTGACCTTCTGGAGGTGCTATCTGAGCTCCTTGAGCCCTCACCCCAGGTTCCTCTCAGGCAGAGGGGTGCTTAGAGCGCTTTAGAGTGGGAAGAAGCCCAGACCCCGTAAGTCCAGAGGCCAAGAAACCCTCATCAAAGGAAATTCCTCCTTGGAATCCCAAGTCGGAACCCTCAATGTTCTTTTTCATCAAATAAAACCGAACACCGTGATATTCATGGTTATCGGGCTATCTAGTCTATTAACGTTATATTTCAGAGAAATTATAGGTAGGACTGGTGTTAAGGAGAAGAATTGAGAACTATGAAAACCATCGTTTGTGTGGGAAATGCCTTTTGAGTCCTAAACGGACGTGGCTTTGCTGGCGCTGTTGCTTCTGCTCGCAGTGAGAGGGTCAGTGTCGGCCCCCAGGGGCTGTCCGTACATGCACGTGGGGTGTAGGGTCCAAACGGCAGGCTCCTCTGAGCCGAATGGCACAACGACTTCTTGGGAAGTGGCCGGTTATCCATGCGGCTGAGTGGCGTTCAAAAACATTAGGCGGATATTTGGTTTTCAAAGCAGCTAAGAAAGCTCTCACCTATGAAGCTTCTCCCTCCTTCCCTGAAGTGTGAGGCTCAGAAGAAGATTCTTCTGTAACTAGTTGGTCAGGCCTAGCTTTTCAAATGGCCGTGGTTGAAAAATACCACCCGCTAAAAAGGTGTATTGACCCAAATGAAAAAAAAAAAAAAAAAAAGAAGCTGACCCACAGGCCGAGTTATGGCTTTTCCTGCGTCTGATGCGTGTAGCTGATCTGGGGTCACTGACACGTGACACGGAGGCAAGAGGTTAAAAGCCTTTCAAAGAGAAGGTGAACGTAACCTTCTTTGAAACTTATTTAGGAGTTTTTTTGTTTGTTTGTTTGTTTTTTTGCTTAGTGTTTTTTGCAGTTTCTGCAGTGGGTAAACTGAGTCACACAAATTTAACAAGCTGATTTCATAAAACCACCTCTGTCAACACAGGCCCTGTGATAGATCCGACAGGGCACTATCTATTTGTGAAGCCGTCCTCAGTGCCATGATGGCAGTAACAGAAAGTCCAAGAAGACAAGTTATAGATTCATTTAGAGCGTCGAGGGTCAGATGATTAGAAACCGGACCGCATACTAAACTCACCACTCACTACTGAGACAGATTATTTGGAGCAAAACACAGTGAGACTGTAGAAAACTGCACGGGGTGGCCTCTTACTCGAGGTTAGGTTTGAAATGCAGCGTTTAAGGTAGACACCGTGGAGAGTCAGAACAATGCGTGAAAACCCCCCGAGACGGCACGCCAAGGACCGTCGGGGACCGAGATGCCGTGTCGTGGGAGAAGACGCTCATCCTTAGACGTCGGGGTCGCGCCGTGTGACGAGATGCCGCGACTCTAATGGGCCTGGAGGGGTCGAGGAGAACAGAGATGCTTCGGTCCCGTGTCGGTCTCCTGCTCCCTGCACACGTAAGGCCATTGAGGAGATTGTCACTCCTGTCCCTTGTTATCGTCAGCGTTTTCCATGCTGAGCGTGGCTGTCGGTTTTGCAGGTTAAATGTAGATTCGATCTGATGCCATGGCGGTGTTTTCCACGTGAGCGAGGCCCCTTAAGCCTTGATATAGCGGCTTGTTTGAGGGGACGCGTTCTGATTGGCTGAGACCCTAACGGACTCCTGCTTAACATGAGACAGAATGACTGTCGACTCCTCATTGTTAATTAAAATTGCAGAAATAAAAACCTGACTTGAAGAAGACTGTGGTTTTTAGGTCATTGGATATTTTCGG